CGCCCTCGGGCGCGTCGCTGCTGCTGGTGGGGCCCGCGGTGATAAATGATAGAGGATACGATGACTTTGCTCTCGCTGCTGGGTCGCATCATGCGCTACTTCTTGCTGAGACCCGAGACGCTCTTCCTGCTGTGCATCAGCCTGGCGCTGTGGAGTTACTTCTTCCACACGGACGAGGTGAAGACCATCGTCAAGTCCAGCCGGGACGCCGTGAAGATGGTGAAGGGCAAGGTGGCCGAGATCATGCAGAACGATCGGCTCGGAGGGCTGGACGTGCTGGAGGCCGAGTTTTCCAAGACCTGGGAGTTCAAGAGTCACAACGTGGCGGTGTACTCCATCCAGGGCCGGCGGGACCACATGGAGGACCGCTTCGAGGTTCTGACGGATCTGGCCAACAAGACGCACCCGTCCATCTTCGGCATCTTCGATGGGCACGGCGGCGAGGTAGGAGTGCGCGGGCGGCGGCGGCGCGGGCGGTGGGGCCGGGCGAGGGGGCGTGGTGCCTGGGCGAGCGGGGCTCCGGCGCGGGGCGCGGAGCGCGGGGGTGAGGTCCCGCTGCGCGGAGAGTCCGCCGCCGCGACTTGGGTCACTGGGAAGCCCCCAGGCCGGACCCGGGGGTAAGACCGCGCTGGCTTTTCGGGGAGGCGCAGTGGTGTTTGCAGTGAACTTTGCCTCTGGCCTCGGGACCCTTTCTAGGGTTCGAAGCCAGGTTAGCCGCGACGAGGGAAGACCGTTTCCCGATGCGCGCTTAGGACAGAGGCCAGATCTGCAGGGTGGCGTGAGCTCCGGGGAGCGTGGAGGGAGCTGCGACGTCCGCCTTTCTCGGGGAGGAGCCGAGGGGCGGCTCCGTGCTTCTTCCCGAGTCCCGCAACTTTGCGAGCGTTGGCGGCCGGCTGCCGGGAGCTGGAGCCGGCGGGGCCGAGCATGGCCCCGGCCTCTGCAGAGGGAAGCCGCCTGCGCCGCGGCTGCCGCCCGCGCCTCGCTCTGCGCCCTGGCCGGAGCGGGGGCGCGGCGGTCTCCCTGCCCAGGTGCCTCTGGGTTCTTTCGGCTGCGAGGACCCGGCTCGAGGCCGGCTCAGACGTCCTCGCACGTGCCCGCGGCGCCGAGCTGCGCGCCAGGGCTCGGGGTGCCCGAGGTCGCTGGAGGGGTGGCCTCTCCTCTTGGGTCTGTGCCCGGGCGTAGTGGGTGGTGAACGTGGTCCCAGCGCCACGCGCCGGAGAGGACCAAGCCAGCCACCCCGTTCCCTCGCCGGACCGTCGGGAACAAAGTCACAGGCTTCGCGCCCCCTTTTCCTTTTTTGGCAGCGCACTTTTTTTTTTTATCCCTGTCCCCTGGTCTGTGCGAGGGTTGTAGGGAATGCCTTTCTCTTTCAGGCATTCTTTGGCCTTGGTTTTGGGTAGATATTGAGAAGCCTTCCATTGGTAATCTTGTCTGCCTTTTCCACCCGCCATCTGGAGATCTTTCCACAATACTGTCCACCTACCTCGTAGAAACAGCTTGCTAAGAGTGCAAACAGCAGCAAAGTTACGCAGTAGAACTGAAATAGGTTTTTGCTATTTTACAGCCACCCTAACCTTTTTATAATCTTTCAGAAATTTTCAGTAATCTTGTAGCCTTTTGTGTGGTGTGGGTCTCCCCTCCCTTTGACCGTGGAGAAGATGAAAGTCAGTTGAGGGAAGAGACACTGCATATTTGGTCGAAAATATACCTCAGTGACAAGATTGACAGTATGATGAGTGACTTGTTTTCTTGACTTAAGTCATTGGTTCTGTATTTTCACTTTATGTGCCTTGATTCAGTGACAGTGAAGGAGGCTGAGATTCTTTGATTTGTAAATCATTTAATAAGCTTGTATGTATTATATATTTTTATATTAAAATTGTTGGCTAATGATAATCTGATTCTGGTCTTAGAAAGCACAGTTTTGCTTTTAGCTTAAAGGTTTAGATGTAACATTACAGTTGTAAAATTTTGAGTTGTGGTTGTCAGTGTGTGATACCTTGGCATGTTTTTGGTATGCTTGTGTGATTGGGTTATTTGAAAATGTTATTTTCTTTAAGTTTTCGAAAACTTGAAAGTTGGAGGCCCAAGTGGATTTCAAATTGAAATATTTACAGTATTATCTAGTAAATATATCATCCAGAAAAAGTGTGATAAATGCTTTTATTCAACTAAACGTATTTTACATGTCCTTGGCTTTTCAGAATTTTTAAATATTAAATGAAAAGATGATCATTTTCAGCCAGACTATGAAATGCTTTTCATTGTGCCTTATGTTAAAATGCTTGTTCTTTCTTTTTTTTTTTTTT